TCTGATTCTTACCTTCCTCCTTTATAACAAGATTGTATAGACCAGAGGTTGGCAAATTTTCTCTAGAAAAGGCAGATAGTAAGTGTTTCAGGATTGTGACAAAATAATCCCTGTACCATATACTCAATTTGGTAACATCAATAAAAGCATTAACAGTATGTAAACAAGTAGGCATGGCTATGTTCTAATAAAACTTTATTTACAAAAACAGGTAGCAGGCCTAGCTAATACCTGCCATCGACTATCTCCCTAGTTCAGGGGTGCTTGGCCACTACCACGCCTCTTCTATGGATTTAGTTTGTTATTAGAAGCAAGAGATTTAACCACTCTATACCTAAATTTGTTTTGGTGTTAGAAGAAAATGTCATTTTTTGTCATGTCACTTCTTCACACATATTTCAGAAGGACTGATGAGCAAGTGTTTCAAAGTATTATGATTTCTTGATGAAGGACATAAAATAAGTACTAATTATTATCAATAGTACCTTTTAAGCTACTATCATCTGATTATTACTGCACCTGGGAATAGAATAAGGATTCTAATTCATACCACTCATTCAGACATATTATACCATGGTCTCTCACCTAGAGTTTTCCTTCAAACATTAATGAAAAACTGTGAGTTGGATCTAATACTACCCTTTGATGTCTTTAAAAGATTAAATGGAAGGAATAAAAGAAATAGACTCCACCATTTTATATACACAAATTTTCTTTTCATTTTCTTTTATGATTATTCAGCTCTAAAGGCTAAAAGTGGAGAGTTCTAAAGAAATAGAATACACACATGAGCTATGCTGAAAATCAAAGTCAATAAAGTATATCTTTTTTTCCTCATTAGGAGAAGCTCTACTAAGAGTAAATTTCTCAGGGTACTTTGGAACTGGGTATATGATAAAAGTGTGACTATAAAAGTATAGTGTATAACTGACACAAATCTCATAATTTCTTATGAATATTATGTTTTCTTTTACACTACACCTAACATCATTATAAACCAACTTTTAACAACTAATTCATATGATAGATATTTCTGTAGTACCCATTATATATAAGGAACTCTGTTAGAAAATGAAAAAGCATGGATACTTAATAATAAAAGGTAATGTGAAAAGTTTCTCAGTGTGTTCACTTGTGGTGTTATGGAATCTGAAGAAAAAAGAAGTCATTTTCAGTCATAAGGACTTGTTTTGTGGCAAAAGTGATACTTGAATGGAGTCTAAAAGATAGGAGGAAAGGATCAAAGAAAGAGCTTTCTAAATAGCCCCAAATATATACCCCATGAACAGACATACAGTACCACTGAACAATTTACATCATACAAAAGGTTTAAGTAGTTCCAGGTATGGCAATACATCAGAGAAGGCATAGAGCAATCAGACTAACAAGGCTGTGTTTAAAGAAAAAGCCACTGAAGAACTTTAAAAGGATTAGAGTTAGTTTTAATTTACTTAACAAACATCTTTCAAGCCTCTATTATATGTCAGACATTCTTACAAAGTACAGCTATAGCAACAAACATTTCCTAAAAGTCTCTACCTCATTGTGTTAGGGAGAGACTGATAACAAACAAAAGACAAATAATATAAATAAAGCAGAGAATGAATTATAAACAGATTAGTTAAGGTGATACCTGAGATCATATTTGAATAAGGGTCTGGAAGAGTACAGTTCCAGGCAGAGAAAAGGTAGTGCAGAAGTACTGAGAATCAACAAAAGAGCCTGTGTGAGTGAGAAAGACTATAGAAGCAGATGATGTCAGAAAGGAAAAGGTCACACCATGTAGAGCCTTGCAGGCAAGTGTAAGGACTCTGGATATAGGTATGTTAACCCTCCTAGGACGGTGGTCAAAGGACTGCAGGATGGAAAGTACTAGAAGTAGAGGCTATAATTATAAAGCTATTTTCCAAGGGAAAAGTTTCTGGAATAATTCATTCATATGATCCTTCATTCATTTGCATTAATTTAGTACATACTTAGGAGACAGTATGCTACACATTGACACTAGAACTGTGACTGAGACGGACACATCTTGGTTGCATGAAGCTGATCATCATTCTGGTGGAATGCTGATTGCGTGAATAGAAACATCTCACATGTTGACAAGGTCCTAAAAAACTACAGAAGTTGAAATTTCATTATGAATCCAAAAAATATCTAAAATTATAGAAGAGAGGATTCCCCCAAATTCAATTACATAAATAGTCCTTTGTCCACTTCCTATTGCCTTACCAACAACTTTTAATGATATATTGGCCAATATTCTTATCACTTAACATTTTTTGAGAAAAATGATTGGATATATTTGGATAGATATTGGATATATTTGTATCAAAAATGTTATTCAAAATATTCTAAGCAGTGAAGAATAAACTGAGTATTTGGGCTTATCACTCCACCAATCATAAGTCACAGAACATAGACTACAAGTATAGTTAATTCAAATATAACCACTTATAAGTCTATTTATTTAGCAAGATTAAGAGAAAGAAAGACCAATGCAAAATGACCAAGTTTGTCTCTAGCCCAGACAACAGCATTTTCCAAACAAATTACTGATATATGAGGATATTATCACTTGTGGCTGGATGACTAGCTTTAGTGCCCCTATAATGATAAACCTGCTGTCTCAGAGGACAGACAGGAACCAGTCTTTGCTGTCAAACTGTCACAGAATTATTAAATATAGAGGGGGAAAGTGATCCAAACAGTATGTAATGAGCTTCCTTTGCATTCTCTTACTACAAAATCACATCTGTGAATTGTTAATGACTCTGAAATGGATGAATCAAATTGATGAAAAAGAAACACATCTCTCAAGGATAGGAAAAAGGATAATGAACACTCACAATGTTTATAAAACATAATTTAAAATACAATAGTTTATTAAAGTACTGTGAAATACTGCAAAATGACATACAAAGGTAAGCAATTACTGTTCATTTTCCTATTCCTTGTTTTATGCTTTTAATATCAATTAATAATCTTTAAAAATATACAGTACAGAAATACCAAGACTGTTTTTCAAAATAGTATGTGTTTGTGACTTTTATGAGTTGGCAATGCCATGAGAATCTGCTAATTTCTGTTCTGCTGGATGAATTTTTATTAAGCATGCCCTGTGGGCTACATGACTGCAGAGTATGTATCAGGCTCCAGTATTTCAGCTCATACAGATTCTGAGTCGAGTTCTGTGGATTTCCTTTCTGCATCTACAGTACTTATCCCACAAAGACTCACTTGTCCCAGGATGCACACAAATACCACATCTTAGTTCAAAGATGTGATCAATCATGGGACTTTTTCAACCACAAGTACTGGATTATTGATTTTTGTACTTCAGTGCCTGGTATTGTGCAAGTCTTCCATAACTCTGAAATAAGATGAATGATATTCAAAGGAAGTATTCTGAGGGATGTCAGATGGCAACAAGTACACCAAAAAAAAAAAAATCACATCACCAACCCATACAATAAAGGTATCTGTTTATATGAGTTAACTGTATTTAGAAAGCTCAGAGTTGGAAAATTTGGATTTGTGTTTTAATATATAAGAAAGCATTGAATCAATGTGAACCTGGATTATTACTTGGTTTAAGGATAGATGCAAATCTGAAAACAGTCAATAAACTTGTTCTGAGTGTACAGATTAGCTGTAGCATTAAGACAGCACTATGTTAGAAAGGAAAAAAGACCAATATTTGTAAACATGAGGCTATATAATCCTGGAGAGGGAAATTGACTTTAACGTGCAGATCATGAGCTCTGAGAGTCAGAGGGAGAAATGCTGTAAACACCATTGTCCACACGGGGTTTACTGGACATAAATATATATTCCAAATAGTAGTGATGGGCCATTTGGCACATGATTTGATTCTTTCACTAGTTTGTTAAAAACACTAACAAACAAAGAAATATGAGAAGATATCAAAGGAAAAATTAAATAGTATATAGTTGACATATTTTCACTTGCAACTTCTTGTGAGCAATATAGAATGTAGTATTACAATGTTTATAAAGAGAAATGCTATTTATTATGTCATTCTTTACTAAAAATCCACAAATTTAAACATACTTTGAGAGTAACCTTTAGAGTATAGCACTATCTCCATTCACACATAGCCATGGAAAATTCAGTCTAAGGCAATCTGTTTATACAGAATCCAAACAGTATCCTACAAGTTTTGTTAACAAATTTTTAGTCATTTTTTATCTCTTAAAAAAACTAACTTTATTTTTACATAAAATGTATTCAAAGATCTTGGCAGTGTCATAAAAAGCAGGTGAATGGAATAATCGATAGATTGGTATCTCAATTTCTGGGACAATGCATGTATTAATGGTATAATGAAACCCCTGGCTTCCATCCCAAGGCCCTTAAAGATTATGTGAATAAAATAGCTGAACTTTAAGTCAGTTTCTCAGTATTTTTTAGTCTATACCACCCATCCTAGTTGGCTAAACAACTAAGCAACAAGGTCAATCAAATGCAACGCTTCTCTCTATTCAAATATAATTTTGACCATTCTGCATTCAAAGATCAAATACATTCTCACAGTGACAACCACATTCCATTGGCTTTTTCTGAGAGCAAAGTGAGACAGATGCCTTGGCTGTAATTGCCAATCAGCCTTTACATGGCAGCTGAAAACACAATACATCACTTTGATCTCCTTTGCTCTAAACACATCCACAATCAAGAAACCTGAACAAGGAATAAGAAATTGGCATCATTTCCAGAAGCTGTCACTTGCAGCACTTAAATGCCATAATGTATATTTTGCTCATATTTTCATTTCCGTGTTTCAGAGACACTCTGTAAAAGACCTGAACAAAAAAACAACTACAATTATACATATATATGAATATATAATCTGAATACAAGCACTTTTAATTACACTTCACCACCATCATTTCATTTTCTAATTTTACACTCAAGGAATTAAACAGGTAAAAGTTCTCATATGAATTTATAATAGTGTTCCAAAATGTTGTACTCACGTTTTGCAGGTAGGTCATAGCCACATGTGATTTTTGCATGTCCAGTCTCACAGCCATTCAGGTTACGACATTCAGCTAGCAAACAGGGGCCAGCTGCTCTATGAATGCAGCCATCCACTAGGGGGGAGAGAGAAAAGTTAGCCTATATTTGACCTTTTGGAAATAAAAGTAAAATTCAAGATGTGAAAAGAAAAGGAATTTAGTTCCTTCTGGAAATCCATAGCCCCATGAAAGAAAATCCATGGTGCAAATCGTGTGTGTGTGTGTGTGTGTGTGTGTGTGGTTTCTGTGCTAATCAGGAGTAGAAGCATGATAGGAGTGATTGCTGGCAAATGTTAAAAAATTCTCTTTGGCTGAGGAAGTTCCAGATACGTTGCATTTTCCATTTCTACTGATGTAAACACTCCCTTACATCCAATTTCATATTATAAATTCAATGTCACTAAGCATAGGGTTGGGAAGAAATTCTAACAACAGTCTCTCCTGAGCTTTTAAGCGTTAGCACCAACACACTGCAAGTTTTAGAAGAAAAGAGGTCAAGAGGAAAGAAAGGCACTCTGGAACATTTGTACTCACCTCAAAAGGGAGTTGGCAAAATTAAAGCTACCCAAATAAAAACCAAATATATTCACAATTTCTCCCCACAAAAGGACAACAGAAATAAGATCATGTTTTTGCAGGGTATCTGGCTGGAAGCCAGATGACATGCAAGGGTAAATTAGGTCTTCACAAACGTCCAGAAGACCAATCCCACTCATTTGGAACAGATTGAAACAGAATTACTACAGCTCATCCTTCTGTTAAATTAGCAGATTTCAGCCCTTTGACCGGCCTCAGGTGCCATCAGTTTTCTGGCTTCTGATTTGGACTCCCTTCGCATTGAGCTTTCATATTGATAACGACCCTTGAAAACACAAGTCTAATGTCACTGGAAATTAGAAATTTCTGTGACTGAATAGGGGGCGAATGCACAGGTGTAGGGCTAAAAGACCAAATGTATATAAAGTAGGAAACTGAGAATTTGGGTGTTTATTTATCATTGAATGTGTCCCATGGACAGAAAAAAAATGAAGAATTGCAAACCAAGGAATGAGAAAGAAGGAGGGACTAATCATAATTTGGAATGTGAAAACAGGCCAGATTTTAGAGGCCTGAATACTTTCCCCTGCTTCCCCAGTATATAACACCATGCAACTGATCATTGCCTTTAATTATCTTTTTTTTCCCCTGGTCCCAGGGATTGGACTCAGGACCCCGTGCTTGAGAGGCAGGCGCTGCACCACTGAGCTAAACCCGCAGTCTAATTATCATTATTATGTACAGAAGAAGTTCAGTGTTGGACAAATCATTGGCCCTGAGAGAAATATAATTTCTCTAATGTTTAAATTGGTTTCTCTTGCCACTGACTGGCTTGGAGGTATCACTTTTGGCTAAGCAAATCTAGGGAAACAAATTTATCTGGGCTTTCCTATATCATGTACATATCTATAAAGTTTGTAAATCAAAATGAATTTACTCCAAACTACTCTAGTCTGCAGTGTTTCACATAATCTAGGTTGAAATTCAGACTCTTCTCTTTACTAGCCAAGTGATGTTGTAAGCTCTAGTTTCCTTATAAACCAGAGTCACTAACGGTACTACCTCACATAGTGGTACATGAGATTTGAATAATATTGTGCATGGAGGGCATTCAGCATATTGTCTAATCTAATGTTATGTGCTACATTGATGATAGTTATTTTAAATGCCCTAACATAAAATTTAAAAACAACTCTTTACTTGTTTGAAAATGAGAAATCTTTATAATCTTTTAAGCAAGAAGAACATGAAAACTATCATTTACTCTACAATCCAGAGAACTCTCCAGTATTTTGATGAGCATTCTCTCAGTTGGTGCACACACACTTTTAAAATAGTTCTTATTTTACAAGAAAAAACTTGAAAAAAATTGAATTCTTTCAATCAACTATTTTATTTTTTAAAATTTATTATAGGATGTGCCTAGAGACCATAATGCTTATGAAAGAAATCAGACAAACACACTTAAATATCACATGCTTTCTTCCGTCAGAGAAGCTCAAAATATAAGTAATTTAAAGAGCAAAAAAAAGACAGATGATAGGAAACAGGAAGATAGACCTTGTGCAAATAAGAAGTGGATCTAGAGATGGAGGAAGAGAAGAGGGAAGGGGGAGGGAGTAGAAGTAAAAGGATTATGATGTGATATGTACATGTGCAATTCCCCAGGATGAATGTATTCATTATGTATCACAAACATGTACTAATAAAATTATTAAATTATTAACACACATGCTATATATATATATGCATATATGAATGTCACAGTTGACTATAATAGTGAAAACCTGGAACAACTCAAGTGTTCAACAACAGGCAATTTGTTAAGTAAATAAATGTTTATCCATAGTAGAGACTAGTATGAGTTAGTTATTAAAATGAATAGACCAACTTTAATAGTTAAACAAAGTCCTATACATGAAGATTTCTAAGTGAAAATGCCAGATTTATTTATAGTCATGTACACATCTATGCACACATATGTATGTACTAGAAAGACATGCCTTTGATTGTAGGGTTATGGCCTGGGAAGCAGAGGGTTGAGACTATCAGAAACAATCCAGAAACATATGGTCCTTAAACAGACCATATTTATAATACATATAACCTATGACCAGAATATATAAAGAATACTTATAGCTCATTAATAGACAACCCAATTAAAAAGTAGACACAGGAAGATGATAAATAGCCAGCACAGCACAAGGAAAAGTGTGCAACACTAGAATCAGAAAAATACTGATCAGTACAATAACAAGACCATATTATACACTCATTAGGGAAATGAAGTTAAAAGTTTTAAAAGAACAAATGTCAGCTTAGGTGTGAACCAGTTAGAACTTTGTAATACTGCTAATATGAATGTAAAATGATAAAACCATTTTGGAAAATGATATAGAAATTTCTTGTATTACTGTTAAGAACCAACAGTTCTGTTCTTAAATTTTTACTTAAGAAGAATGAAAACACATGTTCACAATACATTTGTACATACAAATTGACTATCCCTTATGTGAAATTCTTGGGACCAGAAGTGTTTCAGATTTTGGGTTGAAATCGACTTGATCTGCAAAGAGTATAGCTACTCCTGCTTTTTGTCAGGTTCCTGTCACATGGAGTATTGTTTTCCACCCTTTAACTTTCAGTCTATGAGTTTCTTTTGGTATTAACTGTGTTTCTTGTATGCAGCATAATATTGGATTTTGCTTCTTGACCCATTCTGCCAGTCTATTTCTTTTGATTGGTGAATTGAGACCATTAACATGGATGGTTATAACTGAAACGTATTGACTTATCATTGTCATGACTTTTTCTTTTTGTTGGATTCTCCCCCTTTGGATTTAATTTCTTTTTTTTTCTTTCCTTTTGTTTTTAGGTTTTCTCTTTTTTTTATTAAATTCTTTTATTGGTACATTGTAGGTATACAACACAATTACATTTCTCATTGGAAATTGTACCTTTACATGATGCATCTTGGCTCTTATTTTTTCCCCACTCCTAGCCCTCCCTTCACCCCGTCCACCTTTCCCTATTTACAAAGACTTTATTTCCATTTTTTCCATTTCTCATCATTTTTAATTTCCCCTCTTTCCTTTCCCCTGCCCCTCCTACTACTGCTACCCCTTTGGACCTTTTCTTCCTATTTTGCATTATCAATTATTCATTTTAATCATTGGTACATTTTAGGTATACAATATAATGACATTCATCATTGGAAATTTGC